TATGGTTTTGTCTATTGCCATTACAAATATGAAGAAATAAATGGAATGAACGAATTTGTGATTGAACGCGCTTGTGATGATCATTGTATTATTTAATTTCCACACCTAGCTAAAACTGCGGTAGGGTAGCCTAGTGGATAAAGCGTTCACTCGTCACGTCAAAGATCCGGGTTCGATTCCCACATGAGTACAATGTGTGAAACCCATTGCTAGTGTCCCCCGCCGCGATATTGCTTCAATATTGCTAACAGCGGCGTAAAACCATACTCACTCACTCGCACCTAGCTACAGAATGCTCGTCTTTGCAAAGGGATAAGTTCGGCGTTAGTTTTACCCACCTACAACCAATGCCAGTCGAAAGAGGTAATACGAATTGGGGTTTTACGTTCAAGACAAAATGCATTTAAATTGCGATGTTTATGCAAGTGTGTGTGGCTGCTCATATTGGTCCAGACTTGAGCTGGTTTGAGAGGCAACTCCACGGACACACCGAGAGATATTCTAGTGTTTCACGGATACCCCAGTACAGTGACTCCGAGCTGGCCGGGCATTTCTGAAACCGGCCCGTGAAGATCCGGGTTAGAATTGGTCTTCAGTAACCCATGCCTGTCGAAAGAGGCTATTATAAGGATATGGTCAGGCTCGCTGACTTGGCTGACACATGTCATCGTATCCCTATAGTCTGTTTGCAGTGAAAACGTACCGATCAATGTCACTTTAAACCAAAAAGTAAAACAAATAAAGTGAAATTAAGATTGCGAATCCTCATGATTTTACCTTGCCAGTTGAACATTTAAATCTCAGAATTTTATTCGACTTAGGATAAAAGTTGTTTAATAAACGATCATAGTTTCACATGGCTATTATTGGTTTGTATTACAAGGGGGCATGCACATCAAATGAAACACTGAAAACGACAAGGGTTGTTATAAGTTAACGCTCTTCGCGTATCGCACGTTTCATTTGTTTCGCTGTTCCAACGACTGCGCTTACCCCCTTGGAATACAAACCAGTAATAGCGATTTGAATCTATGATCGTTTGTTAAACAACTTTTATCCTAAGTTGAATAAAATTCTGAGATTTAAATGTTCAACTGGCAAGGTAAAATCATGAGGATTCGCAATCTTAATTTCACTTTATTTGTTTTACTTTTTTGTTTAAAGTGAAATTCATCGGTACGTTTTCACTGCAAACAGACTATAGTGTCTGGTCCAGACTCGATCCTTTCCAGACCGCCGTCATACAACCGGTATATTGCTGAGTGCAGCGTTAAACCAGAAACCAATATATTTTCTGTAACCGGTAATGCCGAACACTGAGCAGTATAACAACAACCATCTTTAAATTTCCTTTGACATTATGCGGTTTGGGGATAGAACAAATGACCTTACGTTTTGGAGGCATACACTTTGTCCACTGGACTAAAGAGGTGGTCGCTAGACCTTTGAGCTGTCCATGACAAGGATCGCGGGGTAATGTTGATGCAACAACGTTGTTCGAGCTACTGACCCATGGTATGTCCAGTCCAGTCACGGTCATTTACAGGGCGAGATGCCCCGATATAGATGTAACATTCCACATCGACGCAACTTTCCTCCTTAAGGATTGATTTGATTGACACATGTCATCGTATCCTAATTGCATGTATCGATATTCATGATGTCAGTCACTGCCGGCTTCACGCATTACCCTTGAGGGGAATCGAACCCGGATATCTTCGGTGTGAAGAGCGAACGCTTTAGCCACTAGGCTACCCCACCGACCCTAAGATTTGTGCATTGTAAAGTTATATATATTTAACCTGCGGAACAACTGTTGAAACTACTACATCTACATCTACATCTACATCAACATCGACATCGACATCGACATCGACATCTACATCTACATCTACATCGACATCGACATCTACATCGACATCGACATCGACATCTACGTGGGATTCGGAATGTGGATTGTTGTGAAAGTTGGTTGGTTTATTATTTATCGCAAAACTCAGCAATATTCCAGCTATATGGCGGTGGTCTGTAAATAGGCTGACCAGAAAATCCAGTGATCAACATTATGAGAATCGATTGGGATACGCAAATGGCATATGATGACATGTGTCAACCACGTCAGCGAACCTGACCACCTGATCACGTTAGTCGCCTTCTCACGACAAGCTTGGGTTGCTGAAGACCAAATCTAACCCGGATCTTCACGGGTGTATCAGTGAGTGAGTGAGTGGGGAGGCAGTAGGGACCATGAGGAGTCCAGGTATCCAGCATCAGTTACACAGCTTCGATAGTGAAGCGGGTGCTCACGAATCTGTTCTGCCCTTGAACCTACAAGTGTGCAGTTGGTGGGGGAGTGATGGGGTGGGGGTGGGAGTTTATGTGATCACGTGACCCAAGTCGGCGTTTGAGGATTTATCTCTGCCCCTATCACTGCATGATAAGATACCTGCACACTGTGCACATGGGGTACACAGCATGCACTACATGAGTAGATATGCTGTATATCCCCTATGGGGTTAATCGCAGTAAAGATAATCAGTGTGAATACCTACGGTGTAGTGTAAGATAACATCTGTGTATACATGTTCATGCAGAGAATACCCTCGGCTCATTCAAATAGGACTGTTATCTCTCTTGCCTGAGGGGTTTATCTTAATCGCAGCGAAAGAACACTACAATTATCGCCTATGTGATCACCACTATGCCGATGGGATTTATCTTCACACCCATATGCCGTCCTACTGAGTGAGTTTTTTTGTGATTTTTAGCGATATTACTTCAACATGCAGCACCTCGTGAACAGTCTGTTTATGACGATGTGAAAGAAAATGTATAAAGAAAATATATTTGTTTGTTGTTTAATGCTGCATTCAGCTATGTTGTATCTGTATGACGGCGGTCTATTAATAATCGAGTCTGGACCAGACAATCCAGTGATCAACATCATGACCATCAATCTACGCTGTTGGGTTAAGATCACATGTGTCAACTAACTCAGCGAGCCTGACCACCCGATCCCATTAGTCGCCTCTCACGAAAAGCATGGGTAATATATTTTATAATTTAAGTTATTTTAATACAATCACCAAAGGCTTCCAGTATATATTTGCAGGGACGTGTAAGGAAAGGTGAATATCACAGAGCTTTAAATGTCCTACTGTGACATTCCTCCCGACAGAGTAAACGACCCTTCAACAATGCTCTACGATTTACACTAGTCTTTCTACTCGGGTACCCAGTGCCAGCACCACTACAATGTCCAATGATATCCGGCAGGCAGAGTTACATAGTTATTCGGCAGGTGGCCGATGTATTTGAACCACACCACAAAACCTGACATAACATGAAGCGTCCGTAAAATATAGATAACATCAACAAAATTCGTAGCTCTTGTCACGTACATCCACCGTGTGTAACTGTGCCATTTCACACAAAAACACACACACCATATCCCTATTTACTGAATTATAATTAATATCTTTGACGCACTCTTCCTACCACAACATCGTAATAAATCTCATTCGAAGGTGGAAAACCCCATATATATAAAAAAAATAATTCAGAAGCTAGAGAACGGCCAAGGCATTATAAAGTCTCTCTTGGGCCCACAGGCTCTACTTAATATATGAAATCAGCCAAACGTTTAGAAATTTCAACACATTCATGATTTGAGTACACTACGCATTTTACAAGTGTGATGAAATTTATGTTAAAAAAAAAGGAAAAAGATTTCCCCTTTTACGCTCACCTGTACACCAGACAGACCAATCATAATAAACGGTCTGTATCTTGGATTCGACCCATGACCCCTACTGTCTCCCCACTCACTCACTCACTGATACACTGAAGATCCGGATTAGAATTGGTCTTCAGCAACCCATGCTTGTCCTAAGAGTCGAGTAACGGGATCGGGTGGTCAGGCTCGCTGACTTGGTTGACACATGTCATCATATCCCAGTTGCGTGGATCGATGTTCATCACAGGATTATCAGGTCCAGACTCGATTATTTACAGACCGCCACTATATAGCTGCAATATAGCTGAGTGCGGCATAACAATAAACTCACTCAATCACTCACTCTTTCATGGTGCAAGAAAAGGTAAACCGCTAGCTTCAATAGGATAGGAAAAAAGAAAAATATGATATTATTGAGCTAAAATGCTGTTTTAACAAAATTATCAAAACTATTAAAACCAACAATTGTCCATTACCAACGGATACTCAAAACACCTGTATGAACCAATAATATATTTCACAAATATTCATCTGGTTGCTAAACTACATATATCATGTAAACATGGCGGTTGTAAAATTCTTGTAGTTACCATTTCTAGTTATTATTTATCTATTTACTCGTCAAACATCTATGACAGTTATGCCTTATCATCATTATCTTGATAACTGCCGGCAAGGACAAAGACTACCAGTTTGAGGAGTTTAAGTGTCTTCTCAAACTAACCCTCACCACACCGTTTTATGCTTTTAATATATGCAATGGTAGTACCTCCCTACCAATAATATACATATTGATCCAGTTGGGGGTAAATGTTGTTTGAACAATTTTATTTATAATAAATGCGGCAGTATGTGCCTGAAGTGTGTTTTTGACATAACACGTCTTAGAATAAAAAGTTTAGATTAGCAAAGAAAACATAGATATTTCAATATTTATATAACACATTTCTCTTAAAAACAAAACGTGCCTAAAGTTTATCACAGAGATCCAGGCGTAAAGAAAATCTGAATGCATTTGGTAAGCAAAAGCTTGCATTTCACAAGCACCAATTTTGAATTTTTTCATTTAATTAAAATTATACTCTTTAATCAGAGTAAGTGTAAGGGAGGTCACTCTCTTTAGGTTTGCCGTGCCACGTAGATATCGCGAGAGCTCGCGAGAAGTTTGGATTTGTTTGCAAACCCGGCGAGTATTGTTGGGCATTAACCCAAATAATTGATGCGTTGGACTTCCGAGAGATTTGTATACGGGGCGTGGTGAGTATGAGAGGTAGTGATACACAGCTGGTGTTTTGTATGAGCCGAATTTGGATACTTGGAAAGTGTAGCAGACGAGATTTCGATTGACAGCCGAAATGTGGAAGTGAGTGTTATGAGTTGTTCTGATTTCGTGAATGTTGACGGAATGTGGTCTGCACATGCTGTTTCCTGGTAGGCCTGTAATACCTCGTAACAGTCACGATCTTGTGCGAATTTACTTGAATGCGCTATTGTTGTCTAGCCCAGCCTATTGTCAAGCATAAAATATACAGAATCGTTTTACAGACTGCTGTTAGACTAAGGCACTTTAGGCAGGTCCAGAATCGGTTTTGTCAATATCATCGTGTTGTGGGTTATCGGATCATCCGTTATTGTCTCGATTATCACGCAACTATCCTTGTTACAGTGTGAATAAACACTGCCGAAGGAAAGTATGTGACCCAATGTCCGACGATATGTCCCAAATGTTGCTCTTCTGTACGGGTCCCATGTAATATTTGTTTCACTTCTCTGGAGTATTTCATAGTATTTCTGATTAGACCTAACACAATGATGGTACTAATGGTGACGCTTACTGATCAGTAGACATGGGAGTTGATGATTATAATGGACAATGAGCTGTATCGTAGTATACAGACTAATGTTTTATTCATTTTATATTGCAATATTCCGACTTGCCGGAAGTGTTGATCTCTGCAACATGTGTCACTCATGTGGGTGGGATAATATGTTGGAACAATAAGCTGGTTTTCACGGCATTGTTTGCAAGTGAAGAATATTTCCAACATCACTGTTTCGGGATCTTTTATTGTAAGATATACACATGCAGAGCTCCAGATAGGATTTAGCTCATGTGGGTACTGTACCCACTGTATTTTTTTTGAGTGGGTATTATGAATGTTGAGTGGGTATTTCATTTTCCGTTACCCACTGCTTTCAAATATGTGCATATTTCAGTCATTTTACTCACCTAAGTATTACGTCATTGAGTAAGTTTACTAAGCAGGTATGTTCTGCCTTATGTCATACCTAATCAAAACCAACTTAAATATAATGAAAATGATGTCATAAAAATCGCTCATCCTATACTGACAGTACAACACTTGTCCTATACTAACAGTACAACTTGATAGCAATCGATGTCTTTTTCCTTACGCAAGCGATTTTTATAAATATATTCTGTACGCATTTGTTTTAAACTTTTTGCATATCTAACATTTTAAATGTGTAATTGGTACACAACAATTATTTTTTCAATGCGTAATTTGAAATTTTCTATGCGTATTTTACCCTGATACGCAGCTTATCTGGGCCTCTGCACATGATCCATGGTAACTTTACTATGTCAACCTGAATACTGAAATGTATTTGACAAGTCTTTATCTTACTGCTTAACCAAATATGCTTGCAATACATGACTAAAACCAACCCTCATTTGGTTGAAATCACCGTTTCTCATCGGTATTTAACCTTTAACTTGTCTGTCCTCACAATCATGTAATCATATCATTCATCATATTTGTACTCAAAGGTAAGAACTACCTGTTTCAGACTATCTAAGCTCCCCCAGTTTTCTAAGTGCTTCTCGGCAAATCTTGGTTGCACATGTGGATATCTTACAGTAGAAGATGCCAAAACATTGATGTTGGTTAATATTTTACACAGACGTCCATGGGCTACAGTGATTATGTGGAGTTACATTCCTTAGGCAGGCAAGGATCCTGTGAATGTTGATTTTAACGCAAGATTCATCACAATTATGATTTTTGTTGTCTGTTCATAGACACCATACTGTTCATTAAAAAGGTAATCATCTACCAGCTGCATCAAATTGGGATTTTCCCCTGTATTGAACAGATAATGAAATGACAATACGGTATTGTATTATGATACAAGTCGAATGATACAATTTACAACCTCTGTATCACAATATGTACAATACATGCCATCACAAGTTATATTCCTGTTCGGGGCTGTGGGGTAGCCTAATGGTTAAAGCGCTGGCTCGTCATGCCGATGACCCGGGTTCGAATCCCCACATGGGCACAATGTGTGAAGCCCATTTCTGGTGACCCCTGCCGTGATGTTGCTGGAATATTGCTAAAAGCGGCGTAAAAACCAAACTCAGTCAATCAGTATATTCCTGTTCATACCCATGTTTACTTACGAAAACTGTTCAATATCCAGCATACTTGATTCTCTTGTGTTTTCAGGTTGGCTAGAAACAGAACATTCACAGTGCTCTGTGATACTCCTCAACAATATCCTTTCTTTGATATTTGTCATTTAAGAACTAATGATTCAGAATTATGATTCACCGACAAAAAGAAAGAAAATCAACATATATGATGGCAGTAGAGTAATCACAAATCGTATCCCACCTATTGGATTGGGATATTTATTACCTGCCCATTTAATCTGACGATAGCCATACAGCTGTACAATACAGTGAGCCTAGGCAAATTCCTTATTTCACCCCAATATACATATTGCACAGCTGTCAGGTTTACGCTGAATGCACTTCACATCGTGACTCTTCAGTAACAATGCTTACTATCAGTACTTTTAACATGAATTTCAATTTATCTTCTCAAACAAACCCCATGATGTTTAGAGTTTCAGTCTGTTCCATAAAAATATATGTAATACAACTCATACTAGTGATTACACAATGCCATTTAGAAAGTGGTAAAATGCAACATATGTTATATTAAAGTGTAATCCCAAATATAACTTATGTTGCAACTCATACTAGTGCATTTCAGTTATTTGGACCTTATGAATGACTCGAAGATGTCATGGTAGGAGAGAAACATCTCGTTCTTCAAACTTGTTATCCCCCGCAACACGTTTTGGTGGGGGGTACTAAAATGGACTCCGTGCGCGTGCGTGCGCGTGCGTCCGTCCGTCCGAGCACTTTTGTCTTTTCCGGAGCAGAACTCTAAAACCGTTCAGTATTTCTTCACCAAACTTGGCACATAGATAGATCTGGTGGTTTACTGGTGCCTTTTGGTAGTTTCTGAATTCTGAATAAAATATTTTTGGCGTTTCCATGGCAACAAGTTTGACTTAGACTGAAATTGGTTGTAGTGCTCTTTTCTGGAGCAGAACTCTAAAACCATTCAGTATTTCTTCACCAAACTTGGCACATAGATAGATCTGGTGGTGTACTGGTGCCTTTTGGTAGTTTTGGAATTCTGAATAAAATATTTTTGGCTTTTCCATGGCAACAATTTCGACTTAGACTGAAATTAGTGGTAGTGCTCTTTTCTGGAGCAGAACTCTCAAACCGTTCACTATTTTTTCACCAAACTTGACACAAAGATTGGTCTGGCGGTATCCTGGTGCCTTTTGGTAGGTTTGGAATTCTGAATAAAATATTTTGGCGTTTCCATGGCAACAAGTTTCACTTTGACTGATTGGTGATAGTGCTATTTTCTGGAGCAGAACTTTTAAAACCTTTCAATACTCTCCTTCCACTTTTCTATATACACACCTAAGTATCTGACATAATCATAACTCGTAGACATAATCATGAAAAGTATTTTGCCATTGCGGGGGATATTGATGACTTTGTCTTCTTGTTGTTTCTCTTCTGGGGGCGGTGGGGTAGCCTAGTGGTTAAAGCGTTGGCTCGTCACACCGAAGACCCGGGTTTCGATTCCCCACATGGGCACAATGTGTTAAGCCCATTTCTGGTGTCCCCCGCCGTGATATTGCTGGAATATTGCTAAAAGCGGCGTAAAACTAAACTCAGTCAGTCAGTCAGTTTCTCTTCTGCCATGACATCTCCTTGCGAAATACATAAGGTCCAAATGCACTAGTATAATGTTCTATATGTATTATATTGCCATCCAATATCACTAGACCTCTGGGGCGGTGGGGTAGCATGATGGTTAAAGCGTTCGCTCAGCATGGTGAAGACCCAGGTTTTATTCCCCTGCAAGGGTACAATGTGTGAAGTCCATTTCTGGTGTCCCCTGCTGTGATATTGCTGGAATATTGCTAAAGACAGCGTAAAACTAAACTCACTCATTGAACCTCTACTGACAATGATATTTGTATGGGTGAAATAGCCAAAGTGTGTACGGTGGAAATTTGCACTATCAGTGTTACATATCTCATATTGGTCAGGTTGATGCACTACAATTGAAAATGTTGGAATATGTATTATTATGTATTACAATGATTATAGACAAGTATCGATATTTGGCAGTATTACACAGCTTCCTATATTTTCCAGTTAATTTTAAAGTAATTCCATATGTTATCCATTGTGAGAAACACAACAATTTAACATGTCAGTTTTTACCTGATTTGCTGGTTCTAAATAATAGCTGTGATAAACTGCTATCGGCGCAGAATGGTTTCAGTACTAACCAGCTACTGACCATGTCAAATCTGTATTTGCTCAGGGCGGTGAAAAAAAGCGTTAGCTGATCATGCCATAGACTCGGGTTTGATTTCCCACATTGGTACCATGTGTGAAGCCAATTTGTAGGGTTTCCAGACATGATATTGGTGGAATATATTGTTAAAAGAGGAATAAAACTACACTCACTCACTCACTCACTGTATACTTTCTCCTGTATTTTTGTCATCTCAGTAGCATGTGTATAGTATGTTTAGACACTTGTGCTCAGGGCTCCTGATTGGGATAGCTTTTATCATGTTTATGTAAGCATGTGTAGATAGGCTGCTCCGAGCGAGTCTCAAATCATGAAAACACCAGGACTGGACGGCATTACCAGCATCTTAGTTTTGAGATGACTGTTAATGTTATCAGAACCGTATAACATGTTTAGGGCTTTAGTATGTAGAAAAATATTATCTGCATGTGCAGTAAGTGTCAGTCACTGTCAAAGAATTAAGTTGCCAATATATCACATTTCACAATCTGTATAAAATGTTGTGGTCCTATATATGTGCCAATATACAGCCCAAGTAAACACAGTGGTCTAAGTTACATTAACCAAGATGGTGTGCACCAGTCTATAAATCCCTGCAGGAGAGTTCATATTATTATATGATATTTATATAGCACATATCCAGGCAACTAGTGCTTGCTCAAGTCATATATGCAGGGCGGTGGGGTAGCCTAGTGGTTAAAGCGTTGGCTCATCACGCTGAAGACCCGGGTTAGAATCCCCTCATGAGTACATTGTGTGAAGCCCATTTCTGGTGTCCCCCGCCGTGATGTTGCTGGAATATTGCTAAAAGCGGCGGCGTAAAACCAAACTCAGTCAGTCAAATGTGCATGCTGTCTGCACACAGTCTGTCATAAACAATTCCCCAGTGTTCCCTGTCAGAACAAATGTCAGAAGTTACATCCATGATTTAATGTAATTAGTTTCGGTAATTCCAAGATCTGTACTCTTTTGTTTCTATCATGTCTAATTGGAATTCCGGAGTATAACATTTGTGTTCTTTAACATGTTTAATCACACACCTGACCGTGAAGATCCAACAACGTATATTTCTTGAAGTCGAGTACACCCAAATTACGTCATGACAATTTTCTAAATATTTTGTAGTGTTAATATGGTGTTAGTCTCCGTATTTGAACCACAACCAGTGAAGATCCTGGTTAGAATTGGCCTTCAGCAACCCATGCTTGTCATCAGAAGAGACTAACGGGATTGGGTGGTCAGACTCGCTGACTTGGTTGACACATGTCATCGTATCCCAATTACGTAGATCGATGCTCATTCTATTGATCACTGGATTGTCTGGTCCAAACTCAATTGTTTACAGTCAACTGCCATATAGCTGGAATATTGCTGAGTGCTGCCTGCAACAAACAAAGAAATTAAGGTTGACCACGGAGGCGGTAGAGAGTCTCTTTACAAAGGCAACCAACAACAGCATTAAACAACAAACAAACGTAATCACACACCTGTATGTAAAACCCCACTGACTGACTGCCCCTTCTGTTTCAGCCTGTGGTGAGAGGTGATGATGGCATGTAGCACATCTCTATGGAGCCGTTTAAACTGACACTCCAGCAGATAACATTTGACCAGGATCAGTTTGAGTACGCACCCCAGCTCAACTCCTTTGACGCTGTCATCAACTACGACTCCAGTTTTTCAGCCGAATCTCCACCTGCTGCAACAGTAGACACCAGCACAACATCGAGTACAACTACTTCATCACCACTACTTCCCCCAGGAACCCACGGTATGTACATCAGTGCTCAACAAAAACTGAACATTTGCTAAAAAATGCCAAATATACACACCACTATTCGATTAAATCTGAGTTTCTTGCCAGTGAATGCATGAAAAATGTCATAACCCCTAAAGTAAAGCCCATAATTACCACATATTTCCCTTCCAGTTGTTTGCATGTTTTTTTTACACTGATGATTATTTACCGATTGAATGCAGGCATACCATGTACATGAACTCTACAATGAGTGAGCGAGTTTAGTTTTACGCCGCACTCAGCAATATTCCAGCTATATGGCGGCGGTCTGTAAATAATCGAGTCTGGACCAGACAATCCAGTGATCAACAGCATGAGCATCGATCTGCACAATTGGGAACCGATGACATGTGTCAACCAAGTCAGCTAGCCTGACCACCCGATCCCATTAGTCGCCTCTTACGACAAGCATAGTCGTCTTTTACGACAAGCATGGGTTACTGAAGACCAATTGTTACCCGGGACCTTCACGGGTCAACTCTACAATGAAGGGTGATGGGGTAGACTAGTGCTTAAAGGGTTCATTCATCACATTGAAGACTGGACTTGGTTCCCCACATGGGTTCAATGTGTGAAGCCCATTTCTGGTGTCCCCACAATGATATTGCTGGTATATTTCTGAAAACAGCATAAAACCGTGCTCAATCACTTTTCTGCATTCATGTGCTCTATGTGTTGTTCATTGGTAGGGTAGACTTGTGCTTAAAGCGTCTGCTCGTCACACTAAAGACCGGGGTTCGATTCCCCACATGGATGCTATATGTGAAGCCCACTTCTGGTGTCACCGCCGTGATATTGCTAAAAGTGGCGTAAAACTAAACTTACTCGTGGTTAAAGCGCCTGCTTTCGTCCACGCATTTAAAACTAGGTTCGATTCCCCACATGGGTACAATGTGTGAAGCCTATTTCTGGTGTCCCCCGCCGTGATGTTGCTGGAATATTGCAAAAAGCGGCGTAAAATCATACTCAATCACTCACTAAAGAAGCCAGCAGTTATCCAACAGTTGGGAAGGCTTTAACCACTAGGCCACTCGCCACCCCAGCTGTCCATGATATTCATGATTTGACCTTGATACTTACAACTGACTGGATGAAAGTTCCACTTGATGCTCAATTTTTTTCATTCAGCCTGCTCAATCATCAGATCATTGTCAAACATTCCTTTTATCTGAAGACATCAATGATACTCCATCAATCATGTTATAATCTATCATTCGAGTCATTATGTTGAAGAATAATATTTTTGAATGTGGTTAACATGATCTTTGCTAATAGCAATGATTTAACATGTTCAAATTCCAAACAATTACGACCAATCATCATGATCATTAAATAATTGCTCATGTGTCTCATTATCATTATCTTATTTTCTCTGATATAAATATGTAAATATATCATATATGGGTTTATAGAAACATAGTTTACGTATGGAAATATAGTTTTGAGCTGGTTAGGTCTGAGCTGGTTAGGTCTATCATGCTCAGTATAGACACTTTTAACAGATTTACATGTATTTAGCTTAACAAAATGGTGGGTAGGTGTAGGCTAATAAATATTTTCCAGTTTCAGTTTTTGTTTTTGCTTTCCTCAATGTTGAGGATCTTTCTGTTATAGACACAGGTCTGTCAAGATGCGTCTTTATCATAGTAATTTTTAAGCATAGAGATTTGAAGTTTTTGAGAGACATTTTCAACAGATTTTAATCATAGTATCTTAAAAATTACATATTACTATCATTGATGGGCACGATAGAGAACAGATAAATCTTCTGAAATATAGAGCACAAAGATTATGTCAACGATCATTATTATGACAAATCAGTCCTCACACATATTTATCTTATTATTTATGTGGAAGAAGGCCTCACGGTATCTGTTTATCTTGAATTTGCCATTGTAAACCCTGGTCATAATTCAGCCAAATCTGTGTATTACGGGCAGGAATTCCATAATTTACATATTTTTTCTATCAATAATTTAAGGGTCATTCTTATTATTGAGTATCAGGTCATCACACCTATATTAAACAAACCAGAACACAAGAAACAAACTAAATGTTTGGCCTGATATAAAAAAAACCCTTGATATATCTCATATTTCATGTCAGAGTCGAGGTGTGTGCATTTTGCATTTAGTTTCTGCTGTCTGTTTTACATATTGTTCAGCAACACCTGTGCATATCAGCACAAGCTGAAACCATAGCAACAGATGGAAATGTTCAACAATCCGTACATACCTACACATTAACATCTGTACAGGAAGGCTGTGAGCTAATAAACGTACTCGGGTTTCTGTACCCTGACTTCACTTCCACACACTGAGTTTCCTTTCACAAAGATGTATGTTCCACATAACTGTTCCTGTTCTTGTTATCCCCCGCAACACGTTTTGCAGGGGGTATTAAAATGGACTCTGTCCGTCCGCGTCTTGTCCGTCCGTCCGTCCGCACATTTGTCTTTTCCAGAGCAGAACTCTAAAACCATTAAATATTTCTTCACCAAACTTGGCACATACATGGATCTGGTGGTGTACTGGTGCCTTTTGGTAGTTTTGGAAATCTGAATAAAACATTTTTGGCATTTCCATGGCAACAAGTTCGACTTAGAATGAAATTAGTGGTAGTGCTCTTTTCCGGAGCTGAACTCTAAAACCGTTCACTATTTCTTCACCAAACTTGGCACATAGATAGATCTGGTGGTGTACTGGTGCCTTTTGGTAGTTTTGGAATTCTGAATAAAATATTTTTAAGCGTTTCCGTGGCAACAAGTTTTGACTTAGCCTGAAATTGGTGGTAGTACACTTTTCCGGAGCTGAACTCTAAAACCGTTCACTATTTCTTTACCAAACTTGGCACATAGATTGGTCTGGTGGTGTACTGGTGCCTTTTGGTAGTTTTGGAATTCTGAATAAACTATTTTTGGCATTTCCATGGCAACAAGTTCGATATATTTGACATAATCATAACTCATAGACATAATCATGAAGAGTATTTTGCCATTGCGGGGGATATTGATGACTTTGTCTTCTTCTTGTAGCTGTTTTGACATGCAAAAACATTGCAACTGACATTAGTTGTCAGATAGAGCAAAATCATGTGCATTAAATAATAAGTAACAATTAATTAAAAAAATATACTACCTACTGACCAGTATCCATGGTAACCTTTAAGTCCATGCTTCTTGAAAAATAAGGGCCGGTGGGGTAGCCTAGTGGTTAAAGCGTTGGCTCGTAACGCCGAAGACCCGTGTTCGATTTCCCACATGGGCACAATGTGTGAAGCCCATTTCTGGTGTCCCCCGTCGTGATATTGCTGGAATATTGCTAAAAGTGGCGTAAACCTAAACTCAGTCAGTCAGTCTTGAAAAATATGTAGACAATCTACTCATGCTTGTGGGGTGATAGGGGTAGCCTTGTGGTTCAAGCAGTTTGATATTCATCATGCTGAAAACCAGGGTTTGATTCCCCACATGGGTCAATGTGTGAAGCCCACTTCTGGTGAAATAACTGGAATATTGTTGAGTGCGGCTTTGAACAATATTGACAAATTCTCACGCACAAGTAATGGTGTATTATTGTGTTTGCAAAGCTGTTGATCAAATGGGTTTTACTCCACTTTTTTGCAATATTCGAGCAACGTCACCAGAAATGAGCTTCACACCAGGGGTGGAAATAACCCATTGCCCAACATCCAAGTCCAGTGTTTTTTCCAGTGAGGCAAGCAAACTTGTATATCACGCTGTACCAATGTCCAGTTGACTTTCCAATGTTAATTATGTTGTTTATTTAAATAATTAACAAGAAAATGGTCCGGTTTAGAGGAAAAATTATCAGCGCAAGTGATTTTACATGTGCCACTGTACCGGTGTACACTAGCAATTTTAAAGTTATTTCCGACCCTGCACACATTGTACCAATGTGGGAAATCGAACCCGGGTCTTCAGCGTGATGAGCAAACGCTTTAACCACTCTGCTAGCCCACCGCCCGTTTAAACAAAACTGACCGGTGTCCTTGTGTTGCAATGCCCTGTGTCCATGATGACCTGCAGTATAAAGCTGACCAGAAACACTGGACATGTTTACAGGACTATTCAGTCAATTCAGTCAGGTATTCGGTAAATCCGACCATATCCCTTCATTAATACAATTTGTCATACAGGATCACCAGAGCATGTAGAATTGAATATTCATGAAGCTTTTTAAAGGGAGTGTCATTTGCCTGAGTTTAGGTGTTATTTATGAAAACAATATATGGAGAATGGAATAGGTTCAAGCCAGACAGCATAATGGCCAACACCAATATATTTAATTTGACAATGATCTGGTCACCGGTAATTGTCGTGACTGTCACAATTCTCAATACATGTCAAATAAATATTTTGTTGTTATTTCACTGAATATATGAAATAATACATCAACTGCTTACTTCTGATTGTATTCGTTACTCAAGATTTGTATTCACTACCCAATATTTGTGATATGTATCATGTTCGCCTCGTAGTGGATTTGTTGCAGCCCTAGCTCTTAGCGATTCGTTGAATGTAGCAACTGGTTGACATGTTATATCGAGTTACACTGAACAAAGTCTTCATTGTGGGAGTAGGGGAGGTGAAGGAATAGACTAATGCTCTATTACTAGGACTGAATGGTATTACTGGTATACTGCAATACATTTTTCAAACGATACGTATTGTAATATTTTTTCTGAGAACTAGTATATTGGGTAAAGAATGTCTATGAACTTTTGTGATTATTTTTATGGTTTAAATTAAAATCTACACAGACTTTCATTCACAACAGATGTTTTCCTTCGTTATTCAGTGACATATAGCGTACTGTAACATAGCCTGTCTCACAGTCCCTGAACCACATTATTTTCCCTACTGCCTAGCCCTCTCTGCAGTGCTAAAGCTGTAATTGAAGCAAGTCTAGATTTCCTCAGGTTCAGGATCTCTGGTCTCCCTGGGGCTCCTTTTC